AACTAAAGGGGGGTAGATTGAGACTAGATATAAGGAAGAAGTTTTTTATGCTGAGGGTGGTGAAGCACTGGAATGGGTTGCCCAGAGAGGTGGTGGATGCCCCATCCCTGGTAACATTTAAGGTCAGGTTGGATGGGCCTCTGGGCAACCTGATCTAGTTGAAGATGTCCCTGCCCATGGCAGGGGGGTTGGACTAGATGACCTTTAGAGGTCCCTTCCAAGCCAAACTATTCTATGATTCTAAGATGAGGAGGAGGAGTAGGAGTTGCCCTTTATGTGAGAGAGCAGCTGGAGTACATGGAGCTCTGCCTGGGGATGGATGAAGTTGGGCAAGCTAAAGCCCAAATGGAATTGAATCTGTCCAGGGATGTCAAAGACAATGTGAAGGGCTTCTATAAGTATATAGGTGACAAAAGGAAGACTAGGAAAAATGTGGGCCCATTGCTTAACGAGACAGGGGACAGAACATGGAGAAGGCTGAGGTACTGAATGCCTTCTTTGTCTCAGTCTTTACTAGCAAGACCAGCCCTCAGGAATCCCAGGCATCAGAGACCAGGGGGAAAGACTGGAGCAAGGAAGATGTACCCTTGGTGGAAGAGGATCAGGTCAGGGAATACTTAAGCAAAATGGACATAAGTCCATGCGCCCAGATGGGATGCACACATGAGCGCTGAAGGACCTGGCTGATGTCATTGCAAGGCAACTCTTGATAATCTTTGATCAATCATGGCAACTGGCTGAAGTGCCTGAAGACTGGAGGAAAGCAAATGTCACTCCTGTCTTCAAGAAGGGCAAGAAGGAGGACTCGAAGAACTACAGGCTGCTCAGCCTCATCTCAATCCCTGGGAAGGTGATTGAGCAGCTAATCCTGGAAACCATTCCCAGGCACATGAAGGACAAGAAACTCCTCAGGAGTAGTCAGCACTGAAAAGTTTGTGATATGTCTAAATTTATTCATTGATACTTACAAGTACAAAACTCAGTAAGTGTAAGCTGTAAAAGCTGTACAGTTAAGACTTCTGTTTTCCACTTTAGCTTTTCAACACAAAGCCTAGGACATAGAACAGTTTGTTAAATCCAAGTTAAAGAAGTTACATCACCTTGTACAACCAATACCCTTGATTCACTCTGACTAAATAGCTTATTTAAATCATTGGGGGGGGGGTGGGGGTGCAGGGGGAGAGGTGTCACCGAAAGACAAATTTTATGTAGCAATCTGTATTCCTGAATGTAAGTTGCTTCTAAAAAGATTTTTTTAGGTCCATGCTTGAAATTTAGCAGCTACATCAACTGAAAGTGTTTATAAAATTTGTTCCTAATGTTCAAACACACACATAGAGGTTCTTGGAGCTGCCTCCCTCCGTGCCCAGTTCGGAGAAGAATTATATAGTAGCAACTGCATTTTCCTGTATCACCTAAGTTCACGTCATGTATGTTTTATATGTAGAAAATGCTACATCAAAATACAAACCCATTTTTCAGTTTCAGTGCTACTCTCACACTTTATGCAGTTCACAGAAAGACACTGGATGTGTAGGGAAAGTGATGTTCTTAGTGACTGTAGGCAACCCACCTCATGTCATACAGTAAGTCTGATATACTGAAATACTAAACAGAACCCCAGAAAGCCAGTATTTTTTATGATAGGATTATCCTTCCTCTTACAGAGCCCACCGCTCCCCTCTTTGACCTGAAACTCTTAATGCTGCAAAACCTGAGTATACGATGGATTTGACATCTCTCTGGAAAATAGCATCTGAGACACAAGTACTAATGATTGTTTTTACAAGTGCCAATACGATGATAGTTTTCGATGCATCTTCACCTTCATATACCCCAAAGCCAGTGACACACAGGTTAATCGATGCCTTAAGATTTAATCAGAAAGTGTCGAGAAAGAAGTTGCTGTAGTGCGATACAGATAAGCAACAACCTAACTCTGAAGTGGATAGCAGTGCTTCAGAGTGATTCAAGGAAATACACAACAGGACAGGCAAGGCAGGCAGAATAAGGCAGAGTAAAAAACCCATAAAGATCAGTAACTCACTTTTAACTCTGATTAGCTGCAAATGTTTAGCAATCAAGAATGGTTTAGCAGTAATCCTTATTTCTAAGTGGGAACTGATGTTAACAAAGAAAAAACATAGTCTAAGGAAAATAACCTTTCTGGGCTGTAAAGCCAGACAGAGAAAAGCAACAGAGCACAGGAGTCCATCCCTTCTACCCTCCTGCCTCTCCTCTGTCCCCAACACTGACAGCTCCCGAGGACAGGCCTCTCTAAGGAAAAGTTATCCTGCCCTTTTGGTTACTCGTCCTACCCCTCCTGCTCTAGAAGGTAATTTGTTTTAATACATCATTGAAAAAGCCAGCATGATTTCTTCTCAGTAGTAATCACAAAAATGAAGGGTTTCTTTGGTGGGTTTGTTTTTAAACAAGAATAATTGCAATTCAGATTTGTTGAGCTAGTTTTTACAGAAACTTGTGGGAAAACCAACCAAACGCATCATAAAAATGACACCACAAACACAGATGAAGACATATAACGTCTTACATACGTTAATATCATGACCTGAAGTCACATCGCTAAGCCAGCCTGTGCAGTGCTATAGAGAGGAACGTGAGAGCTTCCTTTGAGTGATGGGAATAGGTGAACCACTCAAGCACAGAAACAAGTCAAGACGCCGACGGAGAAAACAGGAAACTGATGGAGGCAGGAAATGGGGGGCCCTTGAATCTGCTCTTGCTGCTTTTCATTCAACAGCATGGGGTGGGGGCTCCCACTTGAAGATTTTTAAGAACCAGCTAAGGTTCTTATGCATCAGGAATGGAACAGATAGGTTTGTCTTCACCTTAAAGCAGAGGGAAATAAGGATGGATCTCTTGAGGTCATTTCTAGCCCTATATTTTTCTAGGATTTGGAAATGGACCCTTCAAAATAGCAACAGCTACTTCACTTACCTCCAAAGGAAGACACCCCTATAACAGTCCCATATTGCAAGCTGTCCTTTTTCCAGAATGTTATAATTTATTCCCATTCTAAAAGATTCTTCACACTGCCAGAGCAGCAGAAAGACGCTTTGGTGTCACTGAGAATCAAGCCCAAAATATCAATCAAGTTCTTTATTTATCTCTCTCAGATATAATCATCTCTCTAGAATTAGAGGACTATAGTTTTTAGGTTTTGATACAACACAATTAGATATCAGGATTTTGAATAAAATAGAGTTTTAAACAGAAGGTTAAGACAGCATTAAAAAAATTATTAGCATGTCAGTAGAGTCTGAGCAGACAGCTCTTTAATAACACTGAACAGGGAATTTAAGGGAAAATACTTCAGGGAAGTAAATGAATATTCTTTCCAGCAGAATGATTTCTTTAAAGACAAAAATCAAAATTATGCAGGTCTTTTTTTTTTTGTTTCAAAAGAATCACTTTGAAGGTAAAATATACCTACCCAAAGCAATTAAGATGAGAAGAAGAAAGATAGAGAAAAAGAATACGCCAAGGGCCAAGTATGTAAGACTGAAAGGACTACTCAGTCAAGGTAGCTGAATCAGTCAAATCCATTTTCCACTGAATTATATTTATTTAATACGAACATAAAGGTGTGCAGAAGAGATGAACGGGTTACAGGAGAAGGTAAAATGAAAGCTCTAAAATGTTGTTCTTTGGAAAGCATCACCATTATCAAAGAGAACTGCTTGCTGCAAGTCAAACAGATTTCTGTTTGAATTCAAGATTAAGTTGTGCATGGCTCTGTGAGCAACTACTAGAAGAGAAATAGAAGATTACAGAAGGAATACTTCTACAACAGTCAGTAGTGCTTGACAGACTCCAGTCTCAGTTTTAGTAGTTGTAGATCTCAGCCATCAAACTTCTCATGGGTGACAAAAGAAGAAATTTGAAGTTAACTTTTACTTTAAGACTACAGTCTTCCTCTCCAACTCTGTTCTTTACTTTGAAGGACAGGAGGAAACCCGAGCTTCCCCTGGCCTCCATCATACGCTTGTCATCAGATGAAAAAGAAAATATGTATCAGATTTTGCTGTATGAACAAAACTGTTCAAGTTTTTAAGTTCTACCAAATACCTGCCTCATTCCTTTGCCTCGAGAGTCAGTTTTATTCATTTATTTGCTTTTATTAAACTATTTATTTATGAATTCTTGCTCAAAATAACTGAAAATCCTGAAGACAAGCACAAAGGATCCTTAGTAACCACAGATTACACAGCATTCCATGGTTCCACTACAAAAATGAGAAACCACTTGAACGCAGTATTTTGCACCACAACCCCAGCTCAACAATTCTGGAGCAGAAACCTGGGATATTTTACAATTTTAAATGCCATTACAGAAAACAAGAACACATTCTCATTTCAGTTGTATTTCCTCACCTAGCGTATACATTTATAGATAACCTCTGTACTTGCCTTTGGTCATGTATGATGCCCTGACGCTAATTTAGAAATAATTCAGAAAGAAAAGTAGACTTCCTATTTTATTACCCAACTCACTTCACAAAGCAAACAGATTTCCGCTAAGGCCTCACAGGAAGAATGAAGAGGACATACTTTGTTTCAGCTCCTGGTGAGAGGCATCAGATGTTCCTCTAGTCAACCCTTGCTAGCGGCACAGCAACTTTTTTCAGAGGCTGCATCAAAGGCCTAGCTCTGATGGATGCATAAAATAAGACAGACTGAGAGCAGAGTTTTCAACAGCAAAAAAGACCAGTAGGCTTAAGGAAAAAAGGTATTTCAGGTTACCTGTGTGTTTTTAAAAATTGTAGCTGGGAATAAAAATTAAAGATAATGTGGAGAAAATATTACACTAGCCACCACAGTTCGTTAAAGTACCACGCACAGAGCAGGCAGCTACTTCAGTAATGGAACAGATCCTGTTCCTCCGTATTTTACTTTCATTGAGAACAGATTACTTCAATGACTTCAAGTGTATTGTTAACATACCTGTCCTGGCTCCCTTCTGTGATGTGATAGAGACGATTGGCACCTCCATCAGCACAAGCTCTCAGTGCAGCTGCAAGTGAAGAAACAGAACATCAATGTATTGGCATTATAAACAAAAAACCACAACCAGTTACTTCATTACTGACATTTCCGTGTAAACTCAAGTGTTCATTGCAGTGTAGGGAATAAACTTGAGATCTCATATGGCTTTTAGCTTCCTATACTTGACTACTTCCCTTGTTTCTCTAAATAGACATTTGAACTGCTTTTATCAGACTAGTGCCACTCTTCATCTGTCTGTGCCACTGTACTTTCCACATAGCTTATGTCTATCTATCCTAACCTACTGCCCAGTTAGCTTAAACTACATGGGAGGCAAGTATTCAAAGCCTGAAAAGGGCCCATCCTCCGTGTATGGGCATGTACTTGTCTAAACAAGTAGAACTTGCACCTTAAACCTAACAATCTTCTCACTCAGGCAAAAGGTTCACAATGGTGGCTCTATAATGACCTCCATAAAAACTGGGGGGGGGGGGAGGAAATAGTTAAGCATGACAATACCCGTTTTCTCTTTTTTCCCCCTGCTATGACACAAAAATAGTAACTCTACTACAGTTCCTGTACTGTTCCACGGACTGTTTGAATCATCTGATATAAAGCAGGTGGATTAGGTCTTGGCTTTAAATGTTGAACTATCCGGGTACAAAAGGAACAAAACCACAATAGTTTTCAGTGCTTCCACATAACTTGGGGATGGCAAAGGGCACGTGCCACTAATTCCAATTGATTTAAACAAGCACAGACATGCTGTTCTCTTCCAATCCCTTTGTTTATACAGACTTAAGTCAGAGATATATCTGATTACAAAATCAGATATAAATTGGTATATTTTATTCATAAGCATCCCTATTAATCATCATTTAACTAACACACAGTTCTTTCATGAGATTTTTTTAAATATGATAAGCTATTGAAGATTGAAAATGACCATCTTGTCTTAGTCTTTATCAGTTTTGCTCTGAGATGCACAAGCCAGATAACCGCAGCACGCAAGATAAAAGAAGCTGTCACTTCCACACAGAGAGGAGAGACAAAGAAAAGGAACAGCCTGCCCAAGTTTTGGAAAAAAAGGTATAAACAACCAGATCAGGCACTTCCTGCTGCTGAGAATCCAATTTTCAGCTAAAGCTGCTTTGCTTTGGTGTTTATTTCTCAGTTAGAACCACCTATCAGCAGTGATACAAACCTGTATTTTTCCTGATCCAGTGACTCCTGTTCTCTCTTGTCCACAGTATTACAGTACCACTATGGTAAGCACTACCTCTCTCAGCCTTCTTGTGCAGACCGTGCTCTTCTCTGTCTCCTTATCCTACTTCACCCACGTCTTCCAGCCACCATCCAAACCCATGTTAACAAGCCAAGGTCAAGCAGATTTGATCCTCACAAATCTTATTAGCTGAGATAATTTCTGAATTATGGTAGCTAGCCAGCCACTTACCATAGCGATTTGCTGCTTCAGGCTCTTGCCAGGTTCCTCATCCATCCTGATGAATATAAACATCACAAGACAAGAACAACCACCTTTTTTTGCCCACTGTGTTTGACTGGAAGCTTTTAACTTCTCCTCTTACTTGAGGTTACAACTGAAACTGGATTAATGCAATTCCTTTCACCTGGGCATATTTGTTAAGTTCTCTCAGGGAGTTCAGCTCACACAGAATTTAGTAATGGCTCACTGCAAGAAGAGTGTGTAACACCTGTCCTTAAACTAGCTATCCTGTCCATCACTTTATCTAGCCCATATAAGGCATCCAAACAAGGCCTAGGACCTAAGCAATCACAGAATCTCTTCTCTCCCCTTGAGCTACAAAAGCAATTCATCAGTTGAGACACTCTTTATAACCAAAACCATAAGAAGGCTGCAGAAAAATTATTTTTTAACTTCAGGTACAGAACCTGCCTAAAGGATGCTTCCCAGGCCAAAGACAGCCCAGCTTTTTCCTTCTGAGAACAGTGATTTTTACATCTAGTCTCCCACATTTTAAACAAATAAGTGGCTTGTGATTTCTGGGAAAAAAAGAAGGGATGAGATACAGAAAAAGAGATGAAAGTCTATTATCTGTCTCAATTACTTTAAGACAGCCAGAGCCTTAACTATTACAAATTATCTCAATGGACTTACCACAAGTGAAGCCTGGCCTAAGATCTCTTCACCTGATCTTATTATTTTAAAACAACATGACTAAAAAACCAAAACAAAGTAAGTTTTACAAAACAAATCAGTCCTCAATCAGTCTGGTACATGTAAAACTGTTGAGATTCTCCCAAAGACCTGAAGGTGCCTAAGTAACAGGTCTATGACACTTGCATGCTGTTCACATGGATATGGGGCTGCTATTTGATATCTCAAATCAAAATAGTTGCCTTATATAACTGCAATTTAAAGTTGTCCCCCACATATTTTTTCTTATAAATAAGAATAAATAATAATAATAAAAAAATTAAACTTCGGCAGGATTGTAAAATTATTTAGAGAAACTATTTATGAGGTACTGATCCTTTACCAGCAAGTTAATAACTTACACTGGAATGAACCAAAACCCCAGGTGCTTTAAGTAACTAGCAGGCAATTAACTAATTGGCTGGAGGCCAGTAAATCATATTGTTTCTACAGCTATGATCCAAGCCTTGCTTGATAAAAAGTAATGATATATATTAGCTGGGAGAACATGTATCGTTATTACCTGGAAGTGTTTAAGGAGATAGTCAGCAATTCTAAGCTTATAATTCAGATGGAAAATTCTCTATGAAAAGATAATAGGACCTGATTTTTACAGTGCCTTTTATATTAGAGACAAAATTGCTTTACGAACAACAATTTGGCCAACGTGCAGTACGGCAACCACGTAGGCAAATCTAGCAGTCTCTAGGCACTTTTGCAACAGCTCACACAAAACCTCATTAATTATTTCTGCAAAAACTGAAGGACCTGAACAAGATTGGGGCTTTGTTTTGCTTGGCATCCTGAAAACAGAGAGCCCTTCTTCAAAGAAGTTTACAGTTTAAACAGATTAAAAAAAAACAAATGAAAAGGTGGAAAGTGACACAGAGGAATGAAGTGCTAATGGTCACACATGGGTCAAAGACAAGTTATCTTCCAGGGTGACCAAAATGGATGGTGGGGCTTGTAGAGGGAAGAATAACTTAAGTGGTCAGCCAGAACACAGAAGGCCTTGCACACACCTTCTCTTCTGACCCAAAGGTTACTATCTCATTATTGCAGACCCCTCAAATTTGCCAGGTGTGCTGCACATGGAAGTACTCTCTAGCTTACGTATGTCAGAAAGAACTAAGTCAGTGAAGACATTATCTAAAGGCTTTTAGTTAATTCTGCCTCTGTGAACTAAGCCAGACGAAGGAATGGTCATCCAAGTAGACCACTGAGCTCTGATGGGTCAGGAGGACCAACACCTTCAGCAAAGACGCTGTGATATGCAACTGGGAGCAGTAGCTTTTTCAACCAGCACAACTGGAAGCAGAAGAGACCCGTGCCCTTGGCCACCCTGCTCAGCTGGAGAGCCCGAAGGTACCGTTTCATGCTTTTGTTATTAGAAGAGACAACACTAAGAGCACAAGGGTGCAAGTGCACTGCAGCACTAGCTCAGTGTGCGAATCTGCACTCCTTGGCATTACCGCAAATTACCACCTTTCCAACCTGAATATTCTGTGTTAAGCTCCACTCCTCAGAAATAGCTCCACCTGTCAAATTACCACCTTTTCTATCTGTCAAATTCCTTTCCGATTTAACTCCAGTGCCATTCAGTGAACTAGGGAATTGAGACTTAACCGAAAAATCAACTGTTTCATTGTGCTGCTTAGTGGAAGAATACAGAAGGGGGAACTCGATGCCACTGCCAATAATTGCTACCCAAGCTATTGGGAGCAGCATATGTTCGGTCCAGTAGTGTTTGAAATTACAGCAAGAGTTAATATCCTTCAGCTCCACCTATGCTGAGGAAGAGTTACGTCAAGAGCATATTATCAGCCCGTGCTATCTCTGAAAGAGTTTCTCATAGGCAACGTGAATGAAGAAACCAAAGTCTTTCTGAGTAATGTCCTTCATTTTAAATGGTGTCTCTTCTGCAGGAACCAGTGAACTATTTCCCTTTAGTGACCGAACTTGAAAGGCCAATTTTAGGGCTAATTATTAGTGAAAATGTTTTTACAAAAATTATTCTAACACAACAAAAATAATGGCAACAATTTATATTATATTTACTCTTTTGGTAAATATAAATAACTTCCCGTCACAGTGAGACAGGATATGAACAGCATATCAAACACAAAAAGGAAGGTCTTGGCTCTGAGCTAACTAGTCCTGCTGCTTTTTGCAGAAGAGAAGCAAATATTTTATCACACCTTCAATAGCCCTGCAAATTCAGGTGGGGGAAAAGACTCTACAAAACAGATGCAATTCTTGCAGACTAAGATGAGGGCATAAAAAGGGAATACATTTATACACAGTACCAATACCTGGGGAAGAAAAGCGTAACTTTATTATTCCTATTATTATTCCTATTCTATTATTCTTTGCAATTAGCATTTAAAATATTTTTTTCTTTTTCCAAACAGATCTTGAAATTAATCCATGTTTTTGCCTAAATTCAAATTTATGACATCTCCCCTTAACCTGCCTTAGTATATCCCCTCTGTTCCTTTTCTAATTTTACACAACTTCTTCTAGGTATGCAGTCTGCTTCCATCATTCATTTATTGATTCAGTAACCTGGTAACCATAATTAACCTGCCAGTATAATCTACACATAAGAGAAGCCTGCTTAATTAATGACTTGGAGCACTGCTAGTAATATATATGTGATAATATATGGTAGATATGCAGAGAATTGCTTGGTTTGCCTGATACATTTGGCTAACACATTTTTGTCTCAGCATTAATAAAAAATACCAGTTACCAGCAACAAAATGCATAATCTGTATTTATGTGCTTTCTCTTTTTCTCCTTTGTCCTGCAGAAGCTGCAAAAACATATTTAACAAATCCATGGCTTTGTGTGGCTCCAGATTGCTAGCTAGGGGATCTATTTGCATCTCAAACTATTCCGTCCCACCCATGTGTTTCTACCTGTGTTATCAGGACTGTATGCAACTGCTATTATATACCAAGTACAGCGCACTGCAGACCTCTCTCTTCTGGTCATCTGCAGCTCTGTTTAGCAAATCACATGTCAGTCCATAACAGTTCTCTGCTTTGCAGTTGGACACTGGTCTTGCTAAGAGACTTTTTAACTATTTAAAATAGGTATATCCTTAATTTGGCCAAAACTGAAAAGGCTTAGCTCCTGTCACCGGTATTTTAAATTTGCAGCAGTGCACAGGGCTTTAAATAAGCACGATGAAGAATGTCACCTGCTCTCAGGATATTCTGTGGTTCCAAATGAAATTAGAGAGATATACAGGTGCTTTTTAAGCTGCTGCTATAGGTGCACATTCATGCTGCTATAATCAGCAGTAGCAAGAGCAGTCAGCCGTCCATAGTAGTACTCAGCACTTTCTAGGATTGAGCCCGTTCTTAAGAATTTCACCCAAAATTCCTCTTTTTTTGCTCTTTTTTTCTGCCATTGGTGATTCCTAATTTTTCATACATACTTCCAGCCCAGGAACAAATTTTAGTTTTACAAATGCTGCAAAGGAAACAGTGGTTGCTATTCTTAAATTGTCTGTGTACCCAAGAAAGGCCCATCAGCTACAAATGGCTTTAAACTAAAGGGGGGTAGATTTAGACTAGAGATAAGGAAGAAATTTTTTACGCTGAGGGTGGTGAAGCACTGGCACAGGTTGCCCAGAGAGGTGGTGGATGTCCCATCCCTGGAAACATTCAAGGTCAGGTTGGACGGGGCTCTGAGCAACCTGATCTAGTTGAAGATGTCCCTGCCCACGGCAGGGGGGTTGGACTAGGTGACCTTTAAAGGTCCCTTCCAACCCAAACTGTTCTATGATTCTAAATGTCTCATACCTGACTTCTATACCACCTGTATCACACAAAGAACATAGAAGCCCAGTAGTCCTCAAGTAAATGGATCACCAACACCGGAGCTGGCAGCCTGCTTCCATCTGGACTGGATCATGGTTCTCAGATGAAAAACTACTGTACATCTAGTAAGGTAATTATATGTTTCCTACAAAACTGCTGCGCTTCTTTAATCACTCTGCTTTGAGCTGTAAACATCACAGAGATCTCAGCTAAGCAGAGGCAGGATTCATTAAGCAATTTAATACGAGAATACAAGGAAGGAACCAATGTGCTGATGAATTAGGAAACACTATTCTTTTCTCAGCACATTGATTCAATATTGAGCAAAAGCCACACAGATAACACATCTCTCTAAAAAGTGCACACAGAAACGGAACACAGGGAAAATTAAACAATTTCTCCCACAGAGAAAAACCTCCCCTGAATTTTAGCCAAAAACTAAGTTACACAGTCATCAAAACAAAATCTTACTTTAAAAAAAAAAAAATCCTAAAAAATTTAAATACTTAATGCTCACTTTGGAGAAAAAAAAAAGGGAATAAAAGAATAGATCAACCCTTTTAAAAACAAATTCTTAAGTACCAAAACACAACCACAAGCAAAAAAACCTGAGTATCAGTAAATATAGTAGGAGTAATGTGCTGTCAGAGATAGAGGCAGGAGAGCAACTGTGTTTTCACCAGACTGAGTTTCTGGACTGTCTTCAGGTACACTTCCATGCAGAGTTCATTACAATGATTCATATTCAAGGCTGCTGGGTTTGGAGTAATCTCTTGTCAGGTGTTAAGATTTAATATTCCTACAACCCTCACTTAGGATATGATTTTCTCTTCTCTTTCCTGTCATTCTTCTCCCATTCTGTCAAACCTGGGAGCTCTGGTACCCTCCGCGTTGCCTTACGGCCATTGCTGTAACAGGCTCCGCAAGCAGGAGCAGCCCTGTGCTGTGTCACAGCGAAAACCAGGAGGAAAGAGCCCAAATATAAAACAAAGTACTTGCTGCCATCATTTCGACTAAAATCTAAGTGACCTTTTCATGACAAGGCTACATAGCTTGATGCCACTGGGGGAAGAATCAGGAAGAAGTTTATTCTTTTAATTTACTCCTTTTTTTTTTTTTCCTGTTTGAAAAATGACAGCTAAAGCAATAATGTAACATTTAATCAGCTTTTCTTTTTGCCCTGAGCACACATCTATTATTACCAGGTAACAGTAAAAAAAACCACTGATTAGGGCACACACCAAAGGGGGGGGGGGGGAGGGAAAAAATACACTGAAGTGCATAATGTTAATCCTGACTTTTTTTCTGAAAAACTATTTGTTTCGAATGTCTTTAAAGAATAATTTGCCAAACCAAAGATCCTCACAAATCAAACAAGCTGCTGAAACACAGGTGGGAGATCCTACTTGTGTCTTAAATCCTGCCTTTTCCAGCATGAGAAGGAATCCAAGCTCTCTACAATCATATATTTGCATCTTACTGGTGGCTGGTCTCTGACACCAGGAATTCCCTGGAGATTCTCAAGTCCTTCCCGCAGTGCCACGCGCCAGCCCCGGGGCTGGGTTGGATCCTGGTTTGCAGACTAACATGCAAGTGCCCTGGAGCTTGTTCTGGACTGCAGCTCTTCCCCAGAGGACGTGCAATCGGTAACCGCAATCTCTCATCCAACCGTTGCCTCTGTAACCCCTGATCGCTGATGAAGGATCTGCCGAGTCTCAAATGTCAAACCCCTACAGACACCATGCCGGCTATCCTTCATAATACATCCCATTAGGTTGCCTTTCAAATACCATCTTCTTTCATTGCTTCGTAAATACATGCGCCTCACTAACAAAACTTTACTATAACCTGTCTACCGGTGTCCTACACCTAAAACAAACACATACATCAAAATACAATTGAAGGTAAAGTAACTGAAAGAGTGTGCAGCTAGCTTTTTTCTGCATCCATTACCTGATTATCAAGTGAAATGGAAAGGCTTCAACATCAATTTTATTTCTGAAGTTTTAAAATTATATTGTTTAATAATTCAGTGTAACATGCACTGACTTCAAGGTTTGAATGCAACTTTTTATTTCTTCATTTCATACTTTCCATTGCTGCAACATTGATTTCTGACACAAGGAAGGTAAACAGCTACAAACATGATGGAATACCCCAACTGCCTGCAATTTTAATTGCCAGTCAGCGTTGTT